TCTCTCTCTCTCTCTCTCTCTCTCTCTCTCTCTCTCTCTCTCTCTCTCTCTCTCTCTCTCTCTCTCTCTCTCTCTCTCTCCCCCTTCTCCTCTCTCTCTCTCTCTCCCTTCTCTCTCTCTCTCTCTCTCCCCTTCTCTCTCTCTCTCTCTCTCTCTCTCTCTCTCTCTCTCTCTCTCTCTCTCTCTCTCTCTCTCTCTCTCTCTCTCTCTCTCTCTCTCTCTCCCTCCCCCTTCTCTCTCTCTCCCCCTTCTCTCTCTCTCTCTCTCTCTCCCTTCTCTCTCTCTCTCCCTTCTCTCTCTCTCCTCTCTCTCTCTTCTCTCTCTCTCTCTCTCTCTCTTGCTCTCTCTCTCTCTCTCTCTCTCTCTCTTCTCTCTCTCTCTCTCTCTCTCTCTCTCCTCTCTCCCTTCTCTCTCTCTCTCTCTCCTCTCTTCTCTCTCTCTCTCTCTCTCCTCTCTTCTCTCTCTCTCTCTCTCCTCTTCTCTCTCTCTCTCTCTCTCTTCTCTCTCTCTCTCTCTCCTCCCCTCTCTCCCTCTCTCTCTTCCTTCTTCCATCTCTCTCTCCTCTCTCTCTCTCTCTCTCCTCTCTCTCTCTCTCTCTCTCTCTCTCTCTCTCTCTCTCTCTCTTCTCTCTCTCTCATATGCTCCCTCCTCCCTCCCTCCCCCCCTCCATCCTCCTTTCCACTCTCTCTCTCTCCTCCTTCCCTCCCTCTCTCACTCTCTCTTCCCTCTCTCCCTCTCCACTTCTGCTTCCCATCCCTGTAGTAGATGGGGATGTATCTACTACTTGTCTCATGGTTTATCTCTGGGGAGTAGTTGTAGTGGGTGTGAGTTCCCACTGTTATGGCTGGGTGCTATAGTTGAATTGGAGGTCAAAGGAGGAGCCAGAGAGGCTCCCAGTTAGCAAGGGACTGTGCAGTCTTTGTGTTGCTGCTGCTTGCTGAGGTGCTCTGGAGGATCTTGCATTACTGGTCTCTGTACCGGATCCTGAAGCTGAAGTATACAGGGCAGTGTAAGAGAACAGAACAAGGGAATCCTGCAATCCAATCAGAGAACTATGAGATGTCTGTGTCAATCACTCAGTTCTCAGCAGTGAGTCAAGAGAAGCGCCTGCTGGGTGAGAGAGGGAGGACAAGGCTGTTAGACCTGTTGTGGCCCAGCCTGGGAAGTATGCGAAGCTTCACGTTGCTGGTTGTGTTGCTATATCCCTACTCCTCCCTCTCTTCCTTCTTCCACTTTGTTTTTCTCTCCCATCTCTCTCAAATAGAAAATGTTGAAAATGTTAGTTTTCCATGTTTTCAACTGTATTTTGGAACAATTCCTTTATAGTGAAATACTTGAACAAAACGAGGTGGCACAGAAAACATCACCAAATATTACATTCACTTTCACCAATCCAGGAACTTGAACACAGTATACATTGAGACTTTCTTAACTTTAAGATATGGTTGAATGTCTGGCTTAAATGAGATATGTACCTTGTTACTAACCTAGGCTAAGTGGGAAGAGTATATTGTTATATACACATGTGTCAGGTTTATTAAAGGCTGTTACATTGGAAATTGATGTTGTCTTTCATTATTGTTGTTGTGTTGTTATATATCTGCATTTTATTTGATTTTGATAAAAAAAAAAAATTATTCATCTTTATTAATTTCCAGATGCATATTTGCTTGTATAATGCCTTTGGAACCTCTTACCTTAACATATTGCTTACAGTAAGAGGGTTACATGAAAATGTATGCGTGTGTGTGAGTGTGCGTGTGCTTGTGCGTGTGTGTGTGTGTGTGTGTGTGAGTTGAGTGAGTGTGAGTGAGTGAGTGAGTGAGTGAGTGAGTGAGTGAGTGAGTGAATGAGTGAGTGCATGCATGTGTAAGAATCAAGTGCTTTGGAAAAGTCCTATAGAATTTTGTATTTATTCCATTGAAAGTGTTTGGTGGCTACTATATGATTTTGTACGTCATGTGAAAATTCTGCTTTGTATTTTATGCATGATATTTGAAGTCTTCAACTTGCATTGAGAAACGTGTCTTTGATTTATAATAAAGTGTACCAATTATTGTGTGTGAATTAGTAAGATCATTAATTTCTTGTAATCAGTGTTTCTGCTAAAATTTTATTCTGAAAGCAAATTTAAGTTTTCATGATATAACACTTGGAGAATTAGCCTCACATTCAAGTGTGTATCAGCGGGGTAATGGTGAAGCCAGGCGCTGCCCAGGACTGAAATGCCCATTTTCTCTTATAGGGGCCACGGTCAAGAGGCCAGTAACCCAAGCCAGAGTGAGTCGCTGGGGCAGACCGTAGCCCGGATAGTTTTCAGAGTGCTCACGTGTGTCCCATCTGCGGCCACCTGGCTCGCCAGAAGAAAGACCTCAAGAAGCACTTACGGATCACACGGGAGAGAAACCATATGCCTGTCCTTGGTGCCCCTATCGCTCCACTCAGAACAGCAACCTCAGAACTCACATCCGGAGAGTGCATTACACATTCACATCCTGCTGAGCAGCCTCATTCAGTAGCAGACAGAGGAGGCGATGGACCACTGGAGCATGCCCTCCCCTCTTTGTGGACTGAACCTAAGTTGTGGGGTATTGAGAAAATTGTAATTCTTCATAAGAAATATACTTCTTGCATTTAGAGTGATGCTTAGCAATATGGATTAAACATACAGTACCATCCATTACTACAATGTTATGAGACTTAATTGACTTTGTTGCCAAATATTGTGTCAACAACCATGCTGGCTAAACTGTGGAGATGAAGTAATTGATGTAACTTGCTAACTAGTGTATTCTTATGGTATTGAAACCAGACACAAAGAAAGTTGACCATAATGACTAGTATGCCATATTTCTCTTCCCTAGGGTACACGGATAGTCTCCGGAACAGGCCAGCGGCAAGTCAGTACCCTATGGTGTATAATCCACATGAAGAAATGCTGGTCCAAGGAAGTTTAGATGGACAGAAACTCTTTTGTGATCAGTGCAGCTACAAGGCTCGTGATAGCACCAACCTCCGAAGGCATAAGCGGATCCACACTGGAGAGAAGCCTTATGCCTGCTCCTATTGTAATTACAGGTCCACTCAGAGCAATAATGTGAAGGCACACATGAAAAGACTTCACCAGAAATCGGATTCCAGTCCAATATCAGACAGGCTGAGAACGAGCATCAGCTGTAGATACTAGGCTTGTGTGTTGGAGGGCTAACAACCAAAGTGCATCTTGTTTTTAAGCCAAAAGTTCACTTGTTGAATTAAATATAGTTGTGAATGATCAGACTTCATGATTGGAAATTCCATGAAATAACAGTAAAAGATAGTTTGCTCACAAGAGTGAGTTGAGCATTACACTGTGTTGAAATGGGTGAATGAATAAATTAATACTTTGACTAGTGAGTGCATTCTTGAATGGAAATGTAATTCAGAGTATGCTTGAGTGAAAGTAAGAAAGTCTTTATGTATGCATACATACATCACAAAGGAATGAGTGCATGTATGTGTGCATAGTTGTTGTGTGTTTAGCTCATTTGGTCCACTTGAAAAGGGAGACCTTGTATGAAAGACATTTGTTTGAACTTCAGTAGAGATGGATATCTGGTAAATGAAAATGAGTATTAAAGTGATTGTGTTTGTTTTCCCAGTAATTTATTTAACTCAAGTTTATATGAAAAATGAGATATTTATTTACAGTTTTTAAAGTTCTGTATATACTCCAAGATGGAAAATATTGTGTATAGATATACAGTGAATGTGTGAATATATATGTTTGGGTGTCATTATCAGCTCAGAGAATTGTGAGCTGAATTTTCTTATTGTAGTTGATGTAAATAAGTGTTGTGAAAATAAAGTATGGTTTAAAAGTATTTTTTATTTCCTATCACATTAATGAGAAAAGAAATTGCAGCGTAGTTTTCAAAAGGTAAATGATAGTTATGATAAATGAGGGATTACGAGTAGCGAAATATACGTTAGTGAGAATGTATATTTTCTTGTTTGTGTGTCTGGCATGATAGAATTATTGGGAAATATTGAATTTTTTTTTGTTTTTGTTTTTATATGGTGACATTTAATATGGTTAAATCTTAATTTTAGAAATAACTTTTAATGAATAATCAAATCTTTGATAATTATCATAGCAACTTCTCACAGTTTAGTCATTGTGAGGGAGTGCCCACAAATGTAGACTGATACCATTATAATGATAAACAGCATTTTTGATATTGACTTCAATGATATATTACCAGTAGATTAAAACCTGCAAATAGGAGCTTAAATTGAGGAAGCGATAAGAATGCAGCAGGGACTTAGGAGGAAAGGTTGATAGAAGCTTCGGTCAATGCTCAGCCCATTAAACTACTGAAAGCTCATCCCTCTGGTGGTAAAGCTCTCCCTTCTCTTCTTTTCTTGTAGGGCGTGGAGGTTGTGGATGCGCAAGGCTCTCTTGGGGTGACTAGGAAGTTGAACAACAACATATGCCAACACTGCGGATATGTGGCTCGGGACAAGACGAACCTGCGCAAGCACTTATACACGCATACAGGAGAGAAACCCTACGCCTGCATGTACTGTTTTTATAAAACAACTCAGAATAGTAATTTACGGACCCACATTAGGCGACATCATCAACAGTTCTTGCCACCAGAAGCTTCGTAGCTTCATCTGTATGTAAAAAAAATAATTTCTAACTTGCTGTTATCAGTTGCCGTGTATCAGTCTAGAAATACAGCTTGAGAGATAAAGAACTTGATTATATTTCCCCCCCTCTCCCCCTAGATAGGAATTAGTCAGTTTAGTTGGTTACATATAAAATTTGTCAGGAAAAAGGATAATTTTTGTGTTTTAACAAATTTGCCTGATGATTATTCATATACAGGATCAGCTGAAGTTGATGTGGCAGTAGTGTAAAGGAAGGAAAGTGAATCTATAGATCAAATTATTTATTTATTTGAAATATAAAATGATAGATTCTTTTCCACACAAATCTATTTTTTTCTTTATAATGTATTTTTAAACACAATATAAATCACAATTTTCTTTTGATGGATGGTAATAAAGGCAATACAAAGGTAATATAAATGTAATGAAAAGAGTGAAATATTACAAAAGTATAAGATCAGAAATTAGAAACTGAAGCTAACTGATAGCTAATACTTCATAAATAAAATGAACACATTAACATACTCTCTGCTCTCTCCTCTCTCATCTCCTCTCTCTCNATATATATATATATATTACACTTGTTTTTTCAAAAAACTCTCTCTCCAAAAAAGGAATAAAGTAGAATAAAAAGAATATAATAAAAAAATAATAAAAAAATTAAAAAAAATAATAAAATAAATTAATAAAAAAAAATAATAATAATAGAAAATAAAAACAATAAAATCACCTTAGGTCCGTTTCTCCCCTGAAGCCATCGCCTCCCCTGGGGCCGGCGGGTCCAATGGGCCCCTGGAGCCCCTGGACCGTCTCTCCCCTGGCTCTCCCCTTCTCGCCCTTGATCTGACCTGAGGGGACGGTTGCCGGTTCGCCCTTTGGCCTTGATTCCCTCGGGGCCGCGAAACCCCTGGGACCTGGGCTGCCGGAGGGTCCTGGTAGGCCGGGGTACCCTGGGGGGGTGAGGGTAGGGTTAGTGTTGTTTTTTTTGTTTTTGTTTTTTTTGGGGGGAATAATTTTTTGGGGGGGAATAATTTATATATATATATATATTATATATATATTATATATATATATTATATATATATATATATATATATATATATTATATATATATATTAATATTATATAGGATTAGTGCTGTTTTTTGGGGGAACTATTATCATTATTAATAATTACTATCATTTTTATTATCATTATTGTCATCATTATCATTATCGTTACTATGTGTTTCTTTCACTAATATTATCATTTCATTGCTATCACATTTTAAAAATTATTTTCTTTATTATCATCATTATTCTATTATTGTTATTAGTATCATTTTTATCACTATAAATCTCTTTATCAATATTATGATAATTAATATCTCTATCATCATTATCATTATTGAAAGTAATTATTATTGTAATTATCATTATAATTATCATCATCATCATCAACATTAGCAATATAATCAATATTATAATTATCATCATTATCATCATTATTAATTATTATTATTATTATTATTATCATTATTATTATTATTATTATTATTATCATTATCATTATCATTATTATTATTATTATTATCATTATCATTATCATCATTGTTATCAGGGTTACTATCATCATCATCATTATCATCATTACTACTATCATCATTATTATCTGCATAATTAAAATCAAGATTAGCATAACTGATATAATAATAGGGAAAAAGAGCAATGGGGAAATTGGGAACTAGGGAAATGGAGAAATAGAGAAATGATGAAATGGGGAAATAGAGAAGCAGGGAAATAGGGAAATGGTGAAATAGAGAAGCAGGGAAATAGGGAAATGGTGAAATAGAGAAGCAGGGAAATAGGGAAATGGTGAATAGAGAAGCAGGGAAATAGGGAAATGGTGAAAGATAGAAGCAGGGAAATAGGGAAATGGTGAAATAGAGAAATAGGGAAATGGTGAAATAGAGAAGCAGGGGAATAGGGAAATGGTGAAATAGAGAAATGGGAAATAGGGAAATGGTGAAAAAGAGAAATGGGGAAATAGGGAAATGGAGAAATAGAGAAATGATGAAATGGGGAAATAGGGAAATTGGAAATAGAGAAGCAGGGAAATAGGGAAATGGTGAAATAGAGAAGCAGGGAAATAGGGAAATGGTGAAATAGAGAAACGGGAAAATGGGGAAATGGGAACTAGGGAAATGATGAAATGGGGAAATAGAGAAACAGGGAAATAGGGATTAGTGACCAAGCAAATAGGGAAATAGAGAAATTATGAAATAGAGAAATGGGGAAATAGAGAAACACGGAAATAGAGATTAGTGACCAAGGAAAATGGGGAAATGGTGAAATAGAGAAACAGGGAAATGGGGAAATAGGGAAACAGAGAAGCGGGGAACTAGGGAAATGGTGAAATAGAGAAACGGGAAAATGGGGAAATTGGGAACTAGAGAAATGGGGAAATAGAGAAATGGGGAAATAGGGAAATAGGGATTATTGACCAAGCAAAATAGGGAAATAGGGACTGGTGACCAAGGGAAATGGGGAAATAGGGAAATAGGGATTATTGACCAAGCAAAATAGGGAAATAGGGATTAGTAACCAAGGAAAATAGAGAAATAGGTACTAGTGACCAAGCAAAATAGGGAAATGGGGAAATAGGGACAAGTGACCAAGCAAAATAGGGAAATAGGGAGATGGGGAAATAGGATGAGTAACCAAGCAAAATAGGGAAATGGCGAAATAGAGAAAAAGAGAAACAAGGAAATAGGGATTAGTAACCAAGCAAAATAGGGAAACAGGGAAATGGGGAAATAGAGAAAAAGGAAATAGGGATGAGTAACCAAGCAAAATAGGGAAACAGGGAAATGGGGAAATAGAGAAACAGAGAAACAGGGAAATAGGGATTAGTAACCAAGCAAAATAGGGAAACAGGGAAATAGAGAAACAGAGAAACAGGGAAATAGGGATTAGTAACCAAGCAAAATAGGGAAACAGGGAAATGGGGAAACAGAGAAACAGGGAAATAGGGATTAGTAACCAAGCAAAATGGGGAAATAGAGAAACAGAGAAACAGGGAAATAGGGATTAGTAACCAAGCAAAATAGGGAAACAGGGAAATGGGGAAATAGAGAAACAGAGAAAACAGAGAAATAGGATAGTAACCAAGCAAAACAGGGAAATGGGGAAATGGGGAAACAGAGAAACAGGGAAATAGGGATTAGTAACCAAGCAAAATAGGGAAACAGGGAAATGGGGAAATAGAGAAACAGAGAAACAGAGAAATAGGGATCAGTAACCAAGCAAAACAGGGAAATGGGGAAATGGGGAAACAGAGAAACAGGGAAATAGGGATCAGTAACCAAGCAAAATAGGGAAATGGGGGAAATGGGGACTTACATCCGTTCTGTTGCAGCCGTCGAGACCCGCGGGACCCGGAGGACCTGGCAGACCTGGGATACCGGGATACATTGATACCGGGAAGCCGTTCAGACCCATTTTGCCCTGGGGGGAAAATTGGGTTTTAAAATTGGACTTGGAAATTGGGTGTCAAAAATTGGTGTCAAAAATTGGGGTGGGGGGTGGAGGCAGATAAAAAATTGGGGGGTTGGAAATTGGGTGTCAAAAATTGGGGGTTGGAAATTGGGTATAAAATTTGGACTTAGAAATTTGGGGTTAAAATGGGGGGGGGAAGTTATGGAAATTGGATTAGAAATTTGGGGTTAAAATTGGTGGATCAAAAATTGGGGGTTGGAATTGGGTGTTGAAAATTGGGGGGGTTGGAAATTGTGGTTAAAAATGGGGTTGGAATTGGGGTTAAAAATTGGGGGGTTGGAAATTAGGGTTAAAAATTGGGGGTTGGAAATTGGGGGTTGAAAATTGAGTGTCAAAGTTGGGGTTGGAAATTGGGTATAAATAATTGGACTTAAAATTGTGGGGTTAAAAAATTGGGGGGGGAGTGGAATTTGGGTGTTCAAATTGGATTAGGAATTTGGGTTAAATTGGAGGGTTGGAAATTGGGTGTCAAATTGGGGAGAGGAAATTGGAGGGTTGGAAATAAGGGTAAGAAAATTCGGTGTCAAGAAATTGGGGGGTTGGAAACTGGGCTTAGAAAATTGGGTGTCAAAAATTGGGGGGTTGGAAATTGGGTGTCAAAAATTGGGGGTTGGAAGTTGGGTGTTAAAATTAAACTTAGAAATTTGGGGTCAAAATTGAGGGTTGGAAATTGGTGTCAAAAATGGGGATGGGTAGGAGGCAAATTAAATACTGGGTGTCAAAATTGGGGGTTGGAAATTGGGCTTAGAATATTGGGGTTAAAAATTGAGGGGTTGGAAATTGGGTGTCAAAAAATTGGGGGTGGGTAGAGGCAAATTAAAAATTGGGTGTCAAAAATTGGAGGTTGGAAATTGGGCTTAGAAAAATTGGGGTTAAAAATTGGGGGGGGGTTGGAAATTGGGTGTCAAAAATTGGCTGTTAAAAATTGGACTTAGAAATTTTGGGTTAAAAATTGGACTTAGGAAATTTACAAGATCAAAAATTGTGTAAAAAAAATTGGGAGGTTGGAAATTGTTGGTAAATGACAGATTAAAAATTGGGATTGGAAAAAATATATATATTGGGACAGAAAACTTGGTTGAATCAAGACCAATTTCTTGTTCTAAAAATAAATCAAAATGGAAAAAATATAATTCTGAAATGACTGAAAAAATAAAAAAAACATTAAAAAATAGTGGCACTTACTTCTAAAACTAGAAAAAAATCCTAAAATGACTGGAAAAAACTAAATGACTGAAAAAAAGGAAAAATCCTAAATGACTGAAAAAAAACTAAAATGACTGAAAAAAACTAAAATGACTGAAAAAAAAAACTAAAATGACTGAAAAAGAAAAAAATCCTAAAATGACTGAAAAAAAAAATAAAATGACTGAAAAAAAAGAAAAAATCCTAAAATGACTTAAAAAAAAACTAAATGACTGAAAAAAGAAAAAACCTAAAATGACTGAAAAAAAAAACTAAAATGACTGAAAAAAAGAAAAAAATCCTAAAATGACTGAAAAAAAATAAAATGACTGAAAAAAGAAAAAATCCTAAAATGACTGAAAAAAAAAATAAAATGACTGAAAAAAAAGAAAAAATCCTAAATGAACTTAAAAAAAAACTAAAATGACTGAAAAAAAGAAAAAATCCTAAAATGACTGAAAAAAAACTAAATGACTGAAAAAAGAAAAAAATCCTAAAATGACTGAAAAAACTAAAATGACTGAAAAAAAGAAAAAAATCCTAAAATGACTTAAAAAAAACCTAAAATGACTGAAAAAAAAGAAAAAAATCCTAAAATGACTGAAAAAAGAAAAAAATCTAAA